GTTTCAGCATTTCTGATGGGTTGTGGGTGGGTGGGCAAGTGTGAGCACAAGCGGCAGAAGTGAGATGGAAAGAAACCGAGGTCTGCTTCTGAATCACATCCTTCACAGAATCAACCTCCTCACGAGGACTCACAAAGTCGTTCACGAGAGCATGTAATTCTCTAGCTGTTTCTACAAGTCTCCGTGTGAAAATGATGGCCGAAAAAATGACAGGGCAGGCTAATGCCTGAGGCCAAGTGCTATAGTCAGCTCTCCAGGAAACTTCATCCCTCTGTGACCAAAAGGGAGCTCAGAAACAAAGTCGGGACTGACTGGTCTCAACTGCTCATCTTAGCGTTTCATCGTGGTATCATCACTGTTTCTAGCTGATACATCCCATCCAAGCAGTGTGATTCATGGTGTTCAGGTTGTGTGATAAGAATTTAAAGATTTTTAATGTTAAAGCAGGTTTGACTGCTAATGGCCAGATAATTTGTTTTTACTTGATGAAAGTACCCAGAAATTGTCACTGCCTTCAGTAGATCACAGGACATCATTAACAGTAATTACTATTATTATAATTTAATATTTAAAATGTACAAAGCACATTTATGTTGTGTCTCATGTGTACAATCAAGATTTTTAGCTACAGAGCTGAAATGTGCAATTGTTCTCCCTTAGAAGTCTCAGGTAAATAYAGAATATTTACTTTTGATACGCAAATGTTTAGATACTGTTTGCCTTGTAACTAACAGGTAGTAACGTGAACTGAATACTGGTATTCTTTTTTAACCAAAACTAGTTAATATTTTATTTTCTAATGCTTAGATGAGGTCATTGTCAGTCACATAGACATATTTGAGATGTTAATAATTTTATACCAAATTAGGCAAATTGAGATAAAATTATTTTAATATTTTGACCAAGTGTTTGTATTGATTTAAAATATCAAAATCAATTTTTTTCTCTTTTAATCCATCCTCCTTCTCTCCATATCTGTTTTAAATTGAAAGTATTCCAACTAAGCTTTATTGTTGTAGATCCGCACAGGAAATAACCTCAAGTACACACAGTGATAAAAGCCAATGGARGTCCACCGTGCTTTGCCACAGGAGGTGAAGATCAACAAAGCCACTCAACAAGGCCAAGTGTGGCTCTTTTCTGTGACTGCAGGATGCGTTCTGAAGGGAGTGTGAAAGCCACTCTGTGCCTTGGGGCTTGCTGCTCCCAGCGGTGGGTGAAGTCACTGGTGAGGAAACCTGGCGCTCTCCTCTCTGGGGTGGACCTGTGGAGGCTTGCTAGGAATAGACATCTCCTCAGAGACTACACCCTYTCCCAGTCCTTGTTATGGATAATTAGCTAAGGGTATTTTTTAAATGAAAAAAATAAAAAGAAAAAAAAAAGTTCCACTCCCGAGAGTGAGGCAGGAAAGGAAGCAGCCAGCCTAATCAGCTCTGGTGCCAGAGCTAGTTCTGTCTGTCAGTCTGAGTCCTTGGGTCTGCAGTGCCCCTGTGCTGCACAGACACTGCTTCCCTCAGGCTCCTCCTCCTCTGGCTGCACCGCTGGGGCAGGAGCTGGTGCACCTGCAGGTGCCCCATGGCGGATCAGGCGGCTTAAGTGCCCTGTGCTCCTTCCTGCACKGCCTAGTCTTTCCCCTCCTCCTGGATCTGTTAAGTGCCATCTTTCTCCTGTCTTTCCTGCTCTCTGGTCTTTCCACTTGGACTCTCAAGTGACTTCCTGAGAAAGAGAAAGAGCTGTGGATATGGCATTTCTAAAGGCTCAGTCAAATGTGGTGAGTTAACCATCCTGTGTGGGAAGCAAAGTGCCCCAGGTCTCTGCACTTCCAGCTGCTCTAACCCGTAGAACCTTGGCCTACAGTCCAGGCAAGGACAATGAAGTTTATTATGCCAATACTTTACACTCGAGATGTCTGAGCACTTTATTTTCATAGGTTTGATGGCATCTTAGAGATCCTGGTATAAGTTCTGTGAGGAAGTTGGAGATTTTTGAGCTCATTAATGGAGTTCTTCCCCTAGCCCCCAAAAATGAATTTAGAAAGTCATAGAATCTACTGAACTTGGAAATCTTAAGAATAAAAAAATACTAATGATTATCCTTTCTGAGCATATTGAATAATGAACTCTCAGTAATTGTGCATGCTGAGCATCTCTGGGATGCTAAACTTCATTACGGAGAATCTGGGGCACCTGGGACTTTTCATGGCCTCATGTCCCCTGGGCACAGAATGAGCAGATCTTTGGCACTCATACCTGCCTTAATCTTAGGACTTGATGCAGCAAACTTCCTGTATGGCTCCTTGCAAGCTAAATAGATAATAGTCAATATTGGAGTGTTATTTGATTCATTTAAAAAAAATTCTTGTGAGACTTAAATTATGTGCTCAAGGATCCAGAAGTCACAGAGCATGAACCAGTTCATCTTGTTTTCATAACAATGGAGATCACTGAAATTCCAGAAGTGGTAAACTACCTCACTATCATTAAATAGGTCCTGTGGTGGCCCTTGTGAAGAACTGCTGAGCCACTGTATATAGAAGCCCCTCCTTTAGGCTCAAACAAGACTAAACACATTCACATACCATTTAAAATAATAATATTATTGGCCCACAAAGGAATTGGCCATGGGTTTCTTAAAGCCCAGGAAGGCAGAATGCAGGTCTCACAGAAGGACTCTTGGTAAAGGTCCACAGTGATGGACCCAAGGAGCAAAGCTGAGCCACCAGAAAACTGAGTCAGAATGAAAAACTCATAAGGACAATCCTCCTTGGATAATCTTGGTTGATTTGAGAATCAAGAAAGAAAAGAACTTACTTTCATTCTGTAGTGTGCCTGATGGTGATTCCTATACATGTCATAGGAACATTCCAGAACAAGATGGTCACTATCAATTAGTCCTCCTGCACCTCCTCCTGTGAGTGATGATCTGACAGACAGCACCCAATGCACTCATATTCACACCATTTGGCAAGCAAGTTTTGATTACATTCCTCATTTTCTGAGTAAAAATGTGGTTTCTGTCTGCCTCTTTGCCATGCCAGCTACCTACCTGCCTCGTCCAACTTATAAGCAGGAAAACTCTTATTATATCTTGGGCAGCAAAACAAAAGACCTGAGTTGCAGTCTTCGACTTGCTAGTTTTCTTACATGCAGGTCTGGTATAATTGCTCTGCTGCCCACCTTGTCRTGGGGTGAAACTGCGGGACTGAAGCTTAATCCATCACCCTCCTGGATTAGCAGCATGACCAGCACAGCTGAAGGGTGAAAGTGCCCGCCTCCTGGGCCAGCTGAGGAAAAAGTGGGGTGGATGACTGTACCTATACATAGCTCATAAGAGGGACACAATATTAGCCCTGCTAATATTTAACATTCATAGTTTTATTTTTCTTTCATATTTTGAAATTTCAAAACATATTGAAACTTACTAAGACTTATAGAAACAATGCATATACCCTGCCACTCAGAATGAACAGCTATTCCTCCATGGTCATGCTTCCTAACAGTGATTTTTAAAGAAACAAAAGAGAGTAAGTCCCAGGCTTTGATGGGTTTCCTCTGCAGAAGCACTGGCTTCTTTCCCTTTGGCACCTGCCCTCCTGGCTCCTTTGCACATACCTGTATGTTCCCTCTAAACTATCACGTAATGCCATTCTTGTGGATTTTCAATTTACAGGAGATGAAGGGAAAGCCCGTACTGACACGCTAGACAGACAACATGGATGGGCCCTCAGTTAGCAAATCAAAGCATTCTSTACCCAATTAGATATTGTTAATGCTGTCAATCCACTCACCACCCCTGTAGAAGCTTGTTTCAGCCTCTGCAAGGATGACCTTGGCAATCCTTCAATTCTGGCAAATGTCAGTTCTAAGGCACAATATCTTATAACCATTGGGGGACACATGCCAACGGGATGTAATCCTGGCAAAGCATTCCTGGAGTAGTGGATCTGAACCCCACTCTGTGCCCCAGTGTACCCAAGAGATAAAAATATTTCTTCTTAACAAAAGTCAGACCCAATTACTTTTTACTAACTGTTTTGGAAAAATTTTAAAAATATTAGTAATTGGGGCTCTGCCTATGGTTGACCTACATTATACTGCACACTCACCCTAAGACATGAAACCACTGCCAGGTAACTGAGAATATAAGGTGTCACAGAAGATAGAAAACCTTTAGTTCTCTGAAGGTATCAGGAAAGATAAATGAATGATCAAGGCAGGACTCCTGGGAGTAGAGAATAAAGCATGTTAAAGGAGGGGCTAGCAGAAGATGCGAAGCATCAGTCCCACTGGGTTGGCCCTGGGAATTGCTTTTTTCCTCTCCTCAGGGAAGCAGTCCCAGCATTAGCAAACACTTCCATGGTATGAAGCACAATGGACCACAGAGCTCTGGGGTAGGCTGGGGAGAGGGCTGTGGGGCCTGAGGTGAGCTGTCTGCTACCAGCTTCTCTGATGTGGGCAACRGGGTCCTGCCGCAGCAAGCAGGATGGGAATCCAGTTACAGATAAAATAACAATGAGGTGAGACTCTTCTTCCTGAAATTGGATTTGGATCTGATGCCAATCTTCTCAGGATGTCACACTATTTAGAATGAGATTCCACCTGATGGCAAATCTGGTTTTCTGATCCAGTGACACAGCCAGTTCTCCTACCCAGGGTTACAGATGACTAGGAGAATTTGATACTTTCCCTTTAAAAAGAAAACAAGTAGAAAAAAAAAATTGGGTGCTTGATCCTTGTAAAATCATCACCTTTTGAAACTGACTCTTTGCACCCTGCCATATTGAACAGAATGATGCAACATGTTGGTATGTGATCATAGACAAGAGGCCCCCAAACTCCATATACTGTGCTCTTCTAACCAGACTGTGAGTGGTCCTACTGTGGAACTCCTGGGCCGAGCCTCCTGCATATGGGAGGGCGGCCCCAGTCCTCCCGCGCCTTCCGTCCTGAAGACCTGTGCCTGCAGCTCACAGAGGCTTTCTCCCAACAGGTAACGTGTGGGGGCAGGTGATGGGCAGGCAGAACGCAAGTTCTTCTGAGGGCTTCATCCTGGTGGGCTTCTCGGACCGCCCCCGCCTGGAGCTGGGCCTCTTTGTGGTGGTACTCACCTTCTATCTGCTCACGCTTCTGGGCAACGTGGCCATCATCCTGCTGTCCGCCCTGGACGCCCGGCTGCACACGCCCATGTACTTCTTCTTGGCCAACCTCTCCTTCCTGGACGTGTGCTTCACCACGGGCTCCATCCCCCAGATGCTCTACAACCTGTGGGGCCCAGACAAGACCATCAGCTACGTGGGCTGTGCCGTCCAGCTCTACTTCGTCCTGGCCCTGGGAGGCGTGGAGTGCGTGCTCCTGGCCGTCATGGCCTATGACCGCTACGTCGCAGTCTGCAAGCCTCTGCACTACACGGTCATCATGCACCCGCGCCTCTGCGGGCAGCTGGCCTCTGCAGCCTGGCTGAGCGGCTTCAGCAACTCTCTCGTCATGGCCCCCCAGACGTTGCTGCTGCCCCGCTGTGGGCACAGGAGGGTGGACCACTTTCTCTGTGAGATGCCGGCTCTCATTGGCATGGCCTGTGTAGACACCACGACCCTCGAGGCGCTGGCCTTCGCCTTGGCCATCTTCATCATCCTGACACCCCTGCTGCTCATCCTCACCTCCTATGGCTACATCGCCAGAGCCGTGCTTCGCATCAGCTCAGCGGTGGGGCGCAGGAAGGCTCTCAACACCTGCAGCTCACACCTGGCCGTCGTCTCGCTCTTCTATGGCACCATCATTTACATGTACCTCCAGCCAGCAAACGCCTATTCCCAGGACCAGGGCAAGTTCCTCACTCTTTTCTATACAATCGTCACACCCAGTGTGAACCCCCTGATCTACACCCTGAGAAACAAAGACGTGAAAGAGGCAGTGAAGAAGGTGCTGGGGRAGGGGCGAGCACAAGGGCAGTAGCAATGGTGGGAGGTGGGGATCGCCTTGGACTCCTCCGYGGATGTTGCTGGACCTCGACAGCGAATGGGTGTCTGGCACTGTAGACCCAGGAGGCCCTTGATGTGACTGGAAATGGCATGGGGAGGTTGAGGGAAGGCAGCCCCTCCAGTGGACCACAGCCCCTCACAGTGCCCCTCGTGTCCCTCTAAGCCAAGCGTTCTTTCCTCGGGCTTGACTCAGGGTGAGACAGGTGTGGGAAACACCAGCTGTGAGTGTGGTGGCCAGCCAGGTTGGCACAGTGACTTATACCCAGGAGGTCCTCAACAAACATGAGACTGCTTCAAATAGTCCAAAAGAAGCACCTGTGCTTCATCTAGAAAATTAAATGTGCCCTACAGTRCCTTTGTAGTGCCAAACGCCTGAACGAGAGCCCAAATAAGTTGGTCAACCATTTAACCTTAGCACCTCCAATACCAGGGAGTCATAGGTTCTGTGTATTTTAACTCTTTTATGTAACTGAGCTCAATGACATGTATGTTCAACTTTGTGAAGCAATAGCTCATGAAGAAGAAGAGACAAAACAAGATTGTGAGTTTTTGCTGCATGCAGAGGGGATAATTTCTCATTACTACTTGTTAGCAATAAGGGAAGATRATGGGTCTCTTGCTTAAAATGCTTGAGGATTATTTAGCCTCTACCTTCCCCATATGYTATCAGAATAACCTTAATCAAGGCAGGAGGAATGAGAAGAGTTTGGGAAACCATAGGAATCCCTTCACCCCAACAAAGCTAACAGCAGAATTCCAGTGACGATGGAAACCGACTTAAATGATTTATGTTAAATGAATAAATGTCCACCCAAAGGACATTCAGACCTGACCTATCATTTGGAGGAATCCCATCCCACAATGTGGAAAAACATGCTAAAATTTCTGCAAGTGAATAAGGATGACAGGGTTGGACGTGTTGACAGTGGCACCCTTAGGAGTTAGAGGAATTAACAATTAACAATTTCTCATTCACACGTCCTCAAAATTTAAAGAAAGTCAGCTTAGAGGTCCCAGAAAATATACCACAGGCCTAATAAATATTCTTCAGAGCACCATTGCCAGACATAATGTGCATATTTTCTTGTTTTTGAACATGAACTCTTGTATTTTTTCTAGATGGGTTAGATTTTTTGTGGCTCTGTTCGGATTTGTGAGAATGGGCTTTGATCTGTCTTGATTATGGAGGATATTCTACTATTTTCAAGAAGTGGGAACATTAGAACATATTTGACTCTCCCCACTTTATTATCTAATTAGAATAGGATGATAGGCCATGAGGCTTATTAAGGGGTCCTATGTGCAGCCAGCCTTCAGAATTTGTAGACCCTTGGCTTAGCATTTCCATCACTTCTGCAAAAAGAAGTTCGTGGTATGTATCCTACTGGCACCACAAATAAAATGTACTCTTCCTTTGTAAATAAACTCTTTCAGAATCATCTCCAGAGAACAACAATGTCAATAATTTTCACCACATCTGGATATTGCTTAGACATGCATCACTTTCAAATTGACATCTGGAGCCAGGCAGGTAATCAGGAGGCAGGGTGTAATGTCTGTGGCTACACCATGTTGGAAGCCATTTAGGGGACTCCGAATTCTCTTAAAAGCTTCACTTTTCCTTGACAAAGCCCATGTTTCACCACTTTCTTCTCTACCCTCTTCAGAACTATTATCAGAGGCTGTAGGGTGTCAGAGTGAATGAGGAGAAGGTCACTAGGTCCTCAAGGACATTTTCACACCCAGCACCACCTTTTTACTTGGTGCATAAAGTAGTTTACAAAGTTTATCAAAAATGARTTAAATATATTCTAATTGTATATCTTCTCTTGGGAATTGCATAGAAGGAATATTTTGTTTTTATTTTTTATAGATGTATTCTTTCAACAATCCACACACATCCTTACAGATTATCTTTTACCTAAAGTGATGGAGGTTTGGAAATGATTTTCAGGATTTTGACCACTGTGCATAGTTGTGTAACTCTTAGCCATGGTGCTCAAAGTTCCTCCCAGAAAATAAATATCACTCATGCCTCTGTGCATTGGAGTTTGTACTCACTGTGATTTTCAATGAGGGACTGTGGGAGGGGAGCATTATAACTGCTGCTTGTCAGAGCATCAGATCATTTTCCATTTTGTCTCCACAGGTGGTCCAAGGGCCCTGGAGACAACTTTCACCTATTTCATATTTTATTTTCAAGTTCTTCCTCCTCTGGCAGCCATTCACAAATGTGCATTTGCTGGCAGCTGCTGGGTGCAAGCCAGTATTCTAGGTTCTGGAGCAGAATATATAGCTATATTTACACAAAGTAGATCATTGCTGCCTTGAGCTTGCATTCCCATGAAGAGGAGGAAAATTGACTTCTACAGCTATAGCCATGTAGGTGTTATGAGCATGACAGAGGTCCATGGGGTTGGGGACCATGGAGAAGGTGCAGGAAAGTGAGTCCACAAACACCCGAGGGAGACAGGGACACCAACACTGCAGACAGCTGGGAAGTGTTCCCAGCCAAGGGAGGAGTTACCACAAAGTTCAGGTCAGGGAAATGGGGAGAAACTGGAGGAATGGAAGGAGGGACTGAGGGGGATCAGGAGCAGGGGTGATCCTAGGGGAAAGAGCAGACAGTGTTTCTGAGCCAGATTTAAAGACAGGTAGTTAGTGTAGTTAGGTAAATCGGGTCTAACATCRAGTAAGATAAATAAAATGGAGGACATTATAGAGAATGGAGCCCAGGAAAGCAGAGCAGCACTGAGGGAGATTGAAATGTTGATGTCCCCAAGACCCAGAGCCCATCCTAAGGAACTGTTAATTGCCACAGTCCGGCTGCAGCATACTAACCAGGGGGATGACGAGCAACTTGTGTAGATTGATACAGCAGGAGTGGGAGCCGTTTATTGTAGGACAGGAGGGGTATATATACATTCCACACAGCTTATCTTACTTAACATAAACTAGATACAGCAGTCAACCAATAAGGAATCTGGCGTTACTTCACAAACCACTCCCTTTGGCAAAATGCCAGGYGCCATCCTGACTTGTTTACAGACTCTAACAGTTAATGAAGCAGCTCTCAGCAAACAGAGAGGTGCTAATCAAAAGTGGCCCCAGGCCCTTCCTGCCCAGATTACTCCTCTGGCCCTTTTGCCCCTCCTTTTGGGCCTTCCCACCTACATTTCATCACTGCAAGAAAACAGAACAAAGGGCAGAAATGCCTGCCACGGGAATGCAGGAAATCTGAAAGTAAACCTTAGCTATAAAAAAGGGAAGACCTCCCCCTTCCAYGGATTCCACCTCTTGGGTCCCCTTCTTCCTCCGGGGAGAAGTCTTTTCTACTGTCCTTAGTAAAGCTTCTACTTTCCACTCTAAACTTGCCTCGGTGTGCTTCTCTGGTGTTATACTTCAGCATTGGGGAAGCAAGGACTCGTAACCGGTAAACAGCGGTAAGTTTCCGGGAAGGGAAGAGTGATCACCTGTACAAAGTATGGCTAACAGGCCAAGTAGCCATAGAGTCAGCAGTGTGGGGCTGCACTCACCCTGTGGGGAAAGGCACTGGGTGAGTTCTGCCTGAAGTGAGCCTGAGAGGATCTTCTGCAGTGGGGACAGTGTTAGACCAGGACACAAGAAAAGACCACTGACTCCAATTAAAATCAAATTAAAGCAAGCTTATTATTTCGACCGGCCRGGCTGCCTCTCCCTCCCAAAACCGTGGGAATAAGACAGCACCCCAGCTTTCCTGCAGCCCAGCTTTATAGCCCAGAAAGTTACACAAAGGGGGGTTACAGATAACAGAACTCTGAGGAGCATAACACTAATGGTAGTGGTGGTAGATGCTGGTGGGAAAGAGTTGTCTGGAGGGAATCTATGTAAGCTCTTTTTAGTGTGCAATGGTAAGAAGGAATTGCTGTTTTATCACTCACTCTTCAACATGTGAGAGCAATGGAATAGACAAACTGTTACCTGAATTCTTGAAGGGAGTGTAGTAAGGCAGATTTAAATGGTTCCTGTTGTACAAGTCAATCTTTTTCTCTTTGACTTAAAAGTATGCAACACTTCTTTCTCTTCCCTTAGTATTTATTTTTTCAGCTAAAATGTTCCCTGTGTTCTTGCTCTTTCTTTCTCTCTCTTTTATTTTTCTCCTTATTAAATACACAATATGTGAAAGTACATTGCAGACTATCAAGTAGATAGCAATATTCCCTATGTTTTTTTCTAAAATAAATGTCAGCTTTTAATATTCAGTGGAAAATTCACTTCTCTAAGAAGTGTTCCCTTATAAGCTCATTCTAAAAGTGCCTCTACTTTCCATTTTAAAACCAACATTATGTACACTGAAAGTTTACTGTTGTTAAAGAAGATTCATCAGATGCAAAATTACAATGCTTCAAGCTCTAAACTTTATTTCTGATAAGAGTACAAAATAATGGTGTTATGCTCRAATTCGGGACCCCCAAAAGACCACCAGAGACCAAGATCGATGTAAGCAGCAAAGAGGTGTTTATTGCGAGCTAGCTGGGACCTCTGCACGCACACAGCAACTGATGACAATGACAGGCCCCGAGCCCAGGGTTTGCAGCAGTTTTATACACTCTTTGGGGGAAGGCAGGGACTTCACATACACCATAGCATCTCTTAGCAAATCATCACACACCAACAACTCTAAAACATGATTAGCACATTCACTGGTAGCAACAAGTTGAGCAGGGGAGAGGAGGATTCCTTTGAACTGATTGGTTTAAGCCAAGAGGGGGGGTTCACGCTGAACTATGTGGTTTTCCAACACATTATCTACCATCATAAACTACTGGGAGGGTCATCTGGCATCCCAGGTATTTCCCTGTCTCATGCTGATTGGTGGCTGCTAGGGGGTTGCTATGGGTCCCCACCTAGCCTGACTGAGTCAGGGACACCTGGYSCTGAAGACCTCTCCWGTTATTTGTAGATAAACAACTCAGCAGGGTGAGTATGTGCCTA